TATTGCTAACACTTCCCCCTATTCACATGTGTTAATTTATATCAACCGTTCAGGTTCACCTTCAGATGATACATTTGAATCTTTAAAGCATTTAATCAAAATTCCAATTATTTATTTATCACAAGAAGAAGCAGAAGATTATTTAAAAAACTTTTTAATGTATAAAGAATTATATAATACAATCAAGAAGCAAGGATTAGAGGATAAAATTATTGATAAACAACGGGATGAATTATTTGAAACACTTTCTATTTCAAATTTTGATAGAGAATTTTTGCATTCACTCATTTTTCTAGATGATGCAGTGAAATCAAAACTAATAACTAATGAGAAATCATATTTTAATCAGTTATTAACTCAATGTCGACACATTCAGTGTTCATTCTTTATGGCTGTTCAATACTTCAAAGCATTAAGCACAAACATTAAATCAAACCTGTCCACCCTTTTCATTTTCAGTGGGTTTAGTCGTCAACAGTTGAACGTTATGCTTTATCAAGTGAATTTACCAATGAGCATTAATGAACTTTACACACAATATCAGCAATTAGGAGAATATGGAAAAATAATAGTTGATTTAAATAAAGGAAGTGTTAAATTTGATTAACTTTTTATAATTAATTTTTATTTTTTATTTATAATTAAACATGACAGAAATAGCAAATCTTCTACAGGTTCCATTAAAACAAGGGACAAACAAAAAGGGTGCATATAATAGAACTATGAAAGTTCCAGACGGAATGAAAGAATTAGTCCACATTGTTGCCGGTCTTCAAAAGGATGTTAAACAAATGAGAAACGTTTTAACATTACCAGAAGCTCAAGCATATGCCAAACGTCATGGTCCAAATTGGGAAGCACATGAAGCAGACATTACAGGACCAAATGGAAAGCCTGATGGAATAAATGAAGTCTTTGTTACTGATGGTCAAGGAAATATTAAAGTCATAAATGGGTATAAATTAACAATGACGGATTATCCTAAACGTAAAGCATATAATGAACGTTATCCTATGAAATTTGATGTAAATGGAAAAGCTGTTAAACAACATATCGGAGACAGTAAAGATGGACCAACTCTTTCATACCGTCATAATCCATATTCTTATTTCAATGAAGAATTAAACGCTATTGAAGAAGGACCAAACGGATTACCTCAATATGTTAATCAGTTTGATGGTCAATATGCAAATTTGAGACCTGAAATTCCAGCTAAGAAATTCTTTAAAGTTGCTTTATTCGATCCAGTGTTCAATGAACAGAAAGAAGCAATGAAAGCAGAATTTAAACCAATTAAAGGGAAAGAATTTCTTCATCTTCACTTTCAGAAGCGTTCAAGGAATTGATAAAGAAACCACTTTATTCTCAACAAGGTTATAACTTTGATTTAATTAAAGAAAGTGATAGACGTAAATTAGAAAAATCAGATGGTTTTAAGAATGCATGTAATGAAATGATTAAAGATATTGTAAATGATAAAATAAGACTGGAAGAAACTCAAATCATTATCAATAACATAATTGGTGCAGTTACAAAGAAAGTATAAGCAAACAAGGATGAACCTTGGGATATTACCGTAACAACTAAATAAAACTTTAAATATATTTTTCTTTTTTTTTTCAATTATAATGAGAAGACGTTTCACAAGTCAAAAGAACACTAACGCAAAGCAGAGATTACGGTTGGTTATAACGTAAATGATGATAAATCACGAATTATTCAAAATGTTAAAGTTAATGTTAGCCCCGAATTAACAAGGTCAGCAACACAGTCCAATTTATTAACTCGTGACTTACCGAAGAATGAGGAGAATGAAGAAAACCATGAGAATGGAGACCCAATCATTTTTATCTGAACCCGGTAAAGAACCTGTTGAAATTCCCACTTATCCAACATACCCCCGCCTCTTTCATCAAACATCGAGAACCAGGAATCTACGATTCCAGTCGCAATGCGCCATATAAAGTAGACATTAATTCTGAATTAATGAAAATTTACCGTGATATAATAATTAATAATTATGATTCAATAATAAATTTAATTGACCAATCTGGTTTAATTATTTTACCTTATGAATCATTAATTCACATTATCGCCATTCTTTTGTGATGTTCAAGATTCAGACGTTAAGATTCAATTTTCATAGATGATGAGGTTTCATGCTGCGGAACAGTTGCAAAAATAAATCCTATAAAGGATATTAGCACATTAAGATATCAAAGAACGGAGCAACAACTGAACTACATTTAACTTATAATAACATATACAATAAAATAGTTGATGAATATAAAAATATCACTTGAAAAATTCTTTGTTAAGACTATTTAATATTCAAGCATTAACATTATCGAATAATAATCCTTTGAATCATAATCAATAATAATTGACCTTTCACCAGTTTCTATCATTTGTTTTATTTCTTTTGTTCCCCACTATCCGGATCGGTCATTGTAATTGTTTTTGTTATAGTATCAGCTTTATCTTTAACTTCAATCTTTTTTCCATCAGGATATTTAAACCAAAATTCCAAAAATTCGATATTGTCAATCTGTTCATTTTTAATCTATCAATTACATTTTTAATACCATCTGAAAATCTTATGAAATGGTCATTATATGGGTTTTGATTGAACTAAATTTGAATGAAGTGAAATATAACCCGATGATGAATATGACATCGACTCATATTTTCTGAAAACACTAAAATTTATAACATGAATGAATTTCTTATTCGTTGAATTTATGAATTCTTGAGGTAATCTTATTCTAGTTTTATTTATCACTGGAAAATAACGCTTTACCATATTTTAATCGTAATAAAAATGTCAATTATCAATATTATTTCGAATAATAGCTGTGAATTAAATTTAACAGTTAGCGGAATTTATAATGTTACTCTCGTTTCTGTGAGTGGTAAATTTAATTCCATTCTTTTAGACCCTTCAGATTATATATCATTTATTAAAGATGACCATGAAAAAACGTATGATATGTATATAAATAATGTGATAACGAAATGGATATTAACACGATTTTAAGTTATTTAAATGAATCATTTATCGTATGGTATGAAGAAAATTTTAAATCAAAACCTGATAAACTTTTTTGAACTTGATGAAATAAATAACCTTATTAAATTTCCGCTGAAAATTAAATTTTGTACTCCTCATCTTCGTTCATTGTTGGGGATATTAAATTTTGAAAAAGATGTTGGGGATGTGTTTGTATTCTGACACTGGTTCCAAATTTCATTTTAATCAAATGTGATAAAGTTAATACCCCAATGAGATTTTCACATCAAACATTAGACCCTAACTCTTACCCATCAATACAAAACATTTTATCCATCAACTTAAACACATTTTCTTTATCATATCCGTTTCAATTATCCGGGAATTCATTTATTCTTCATTCAAAAGATTTATCAAATATTAAATTTAGAATAACTGACCTATTTGATTGTGATTTAGAATTCATGAATGAAATATTATGGCAATTTCAAATAGAAAAAATAGCTGATGAGATAACAGATTAAATATTTTTTTTTAAATCATAATAAATGATTAAACAACAGCAACCACAACAACTTAAGGCACAAAGCACCCAGGTCCCTCAGACCATTACATACGCCATATATGCATATAATTCAAAGACGGCAGAACAAACGCAAAGGTTGAAATATGGAGATTTGGAGATAGTATTGAAAAATGAACATTTCGAATTCGTTTGCAAAGGTGGTGCAGTGATATCAAATATAAAAGAATTTTATTTATGAATTCAAAAATTAAAGGAATAACGGATGATATAACATCAATTCCACCAGAAGAACAGAGATATTACGCATTAAATGCATTTCCTAAAGTTTTGAAATATTGGAAGATTTAATTTAAATGAGGAATAGAAGGTTTCCTAAATGACATAATGAAGAAAGCAGATAAGGAATATGTGGTTAGTGAATTAAATAAGAAGGCAAATTTGGTTTACGTTGATGAAAAAGATAAAAAATTAAAGAAATGGTTGAATGGTATCATGAATGGACATTGGAGACTTTTAAAGTTAAAGCTGATACAGAATGGGTTTCAGGATGTTTAGACCTTAAAGCAGATAAAACTTATGTTGATGAAAATTATGCAAAGAAGTCGGAAGTAAATGATGTGATTACAAGCATGAAAAAATGAAAATACTTCAAACATTATATCCTGTTGGTTCTATTTATACATCAATGAACTCAACAAATCCATCAACAGTTTTAGGTTTTGGTACGTGGAAGCAGATTGTAGATAAATTCTTATACTGTGCTAGATATTCAAAGCAAACAGGAGGTTCGAAGAAAATTAAAGAAGCAAACCTTCCACCGCACACTCATACAGGAACTACAAACTTTTCTGGCGACCATATACACTCATTAAGAGACCACCCATTATACAACTCAGAATATGAAGTTGGCTATGACGTTTTATCTCCAGATTATAACCATTCAGCAAAAAAGACTTTTCGACCAACTGAACCAGGAGGAAATCATGTCCATACTTTCACAACAAATCCAACAGGTTCGGGTAAAGATTATATGCCACCATTTGTGACTGTATTCGCATGGTACCGCATTCATTGAATGAACTAAATATATTTATGTCTGTAATTAATTAGGTAATGAACTGCAGAAATAAATGTTTACGTTAATGTTTACGAAAATTAATGATTACGTTAATGGTTTCAGGTCATTCAATAATTAATTATTTTTGAAGAACTGAAGGTGTCACCATGTCACCATGTGTCACCAGGTTATTTAACTTCTCTGAAAAAATGAGACAACATGACATTTAGACAACAACATAGGAGGATTAATGAGGAAGGCAGTTATGAATTATTTTTGAAGAACTGAAGGTGTCACCATGTCACCATGTGTCACCAGGTTATTTAACTTCTCTGAAAAAATGAGACAACATGACATTTAGACAACAACATAAGAGGATTAATGCAAAAATAAATTCAAATCATACTTTATAAAGCATCATTTACAGGTATTTCATCGTCAGTAAATGAATCATCATTATCGTTTGGTTCAACCTGTTTATATAATCCTTTCATTTCTTCTTTCAAAACATAACACCATGTTTGTTTACCGTCTATTCTTATCTGTTTCCTATCACATTTATCCTTAATACTCATTTGGAAATTCTTGTCTTTCATGTCTGATGGTTTGCAGAATAGAGCATTTTTACATATCATACCTGCACACAATTCATCATAATGTGTATTTATCCATACATCTAAAGGATTTGTGGATAATTCAATTAAATCTTGTTTGGCTTCAGTCATCGGTATGATTCGTACATTAAATGATGAAAGGTCGTAATTGATAAAATATGTTAAAAGGTTATCATAAAATTCCTTAGTGCATGAATCCATTAAATTCTTGAAGTAATCAAATTGACCCTTAAATTTACCATTAACTCTTAAAACTACGTATCTTCTGTCTCCAACTTCAATTTTGACAGGGTAAACGTTATTAGTTACGAAAATGAAGTTTGCAACGTTCTGAGCAGTTCTTCTGGGTTGATTCTTTTCATTAATTCTAATCTCATTATCCGTAATAATTGATTTCAAAGCGTTGAAGTTTGCGAGTCTGTCTTCACCTACATTCTTGAGTTCATTAAGTACAAGAAACATTTTATTTTCAACAACTGAATTGAAATTACCCGTTAGCTCACTTATTTCAGTAATGTTTTTACATGAATAACCAGCGAGAAGTTCAGAAATAATGTCTGTAAATCTGTTTTTACCTGTTCCCTGAAGTCCTTTCAAAATAATTGCTGTTTCATTCTTGATTCCAGGATGTTGAATCATTGATGCAATCCAGCCGAGAAGGTATTTATACACTTCATCGTTATTATCACAAATGGCTTCTTTAATGAAATTCATAAACATCTCAATTTTTGAGTAATCAGGCTTTTCAAGAATGTTGTATTTATAACCTTGAAACGTTGAGAAAACATCGGGGGAATCAGATTTAAAGCAAACACCCTTAACGGTTAATGAGGATAATTGATTTAGTAGTACGTCCCATGCTGTTATTGTTTTACCTTCTTCTTTAAATAATTTAATCATTTTGAGTGACTCTTTCATGTTTGATTGAAGAACAAATGATATTTGATTCATTTTATCATGAATATTATAGTCCTTTTGAATGAATATTTGTTTCCATAATCTACAAAACGGATTACACGTGATAAATCCTCAATTACTTCAGAACTGTTTTTATACCGATGATTTTCAGCCCTGCGTCTAATATCTGTTATCAAAAACGAGTCATCAAGTTTGATATCAAATGTTATTTTTGGCTTACGTAATAAAGGTAAAACATATTCATCATAATATTCCTTTTGATAAAGTTTTAGAATCTTCACTAAAACAAATGGAGAAGTCATTAAATGTGCATATCTACTACGTGCTTTTTCAAAATTACTTTTTGCATTTTCAGTTAAATTGCAGAAGTTATAAACGTTATCATATGCTTCATTAATTAAATGATTAGGTAACGAATTAATTGCTTGAAACAGTGTGAATAATGTAACTTCTTTTTCTAAATTCATGTTTCCACCGTCATTATGTACTTCAAAATCACAGATGCCATCAACTATGCTCTGGGCAAGTTTATCGTCAATGTTTACATCTTTGTTTTCATTCATGATAGTCTTTATTTCTTCGTTCTTCTGTTCAACTCTTACCTTAATATTCAAATCATTTAATATATCATTCACTGTTCTGGTTAATGTTGAATCATAACTTCCATGAATGAATGAGTATGTATTGATTGGTTCTGATGCATTCTTGCGAACTCTTGAATCGGCCATAACCACTAATGAACGCTTTGAATCATCCATTGAAGTCATGATATCGATATCATAATCATTGCAGGAATAACATTTAATCATTCTGTTCGAGGTTGAATAGAAGAAATTAGTGTTGCAATAAATGTGAAGACCTCCTGAAGCAGTTTTAACGATAACATCTTTATCCGAAAGTTTTGATAAAATATCTTTTCTAACTGTTTCTTTAAGTTCATCATTGTATGATTTATTGATATCAACATCTATAATCGTTAAATTTGAAATTTTATTTACTAATAAAGCCATACCAGTTTTCCTTCCTCTTCCTCCATCATGTTTGAGGTAGTTATGTAAATCAATCTTGTTTTCACCAATTCTTTCGTTGAGGGTTTTAGTTTCTGCCACAACTAATTCCTCAGCTAATGAATCAATAACTTGTTCATCAGAAATGATAAAGTTGCTGTTGTTGTTTGTTGCTGTCATTTATATAGGAATAAAAAAATAAAAATAATTTTAAAACTAACTTTATTTTTGGACTGCATCAAATTTTCTCCTATGTTGTTGTCTAAATGTCATGTTGTCTCATTTTTTCAGAGAAGTTAAATAACCTGGTGACACATGGTGACATGGTGACACCTTCAGTTCTTCAAAAATAAAGTTAGTTTTAAAATTATTTTTATTTTTTTATTCCTATATAAATGACAGCAACAAACAACAACAGCAACTTTATCATTTCTGATGAACAAGTTATTGATTCATTAGCTGAGGAATTAGTTGTGGCAGAAACTAAAACCCTCAACGAAAGAATTGGTGAAAACAAGATTGATTTACATAACTACCTCAAACATGATGGAGGAAGAGGAAGGAAAACTGGTATGGCTTTATTAGTAAATAAAATTTCAAATTTAACGATTATAGATGTTGATATCAATAAATCATACAATGATGAACTTAAAGAAACAGTTAGAAAAGATATTTTATCAAAACTTTCGGATAAAGATGTTATCGTTAAAACTGCTTCAGGAGGTCTTCACATTTATTGCAACACTAATTTCTTCTATTCAACCTCGAACAGAATGATTAAATGTTATTCCTGCAATGATTATGATATCGATATCATGACTTCAATGGATGATTCAAAGCGTTCATTAGTGGTTATGGCCGATTCAAGAGTTCGCAAGAATGCATCAGAACCAATCAATACATACTCATTCATTCATGGAAGTTATGATTCAACATTAACCAGAACAGTGAATGATATATTAAATGATTTGAATATTAAGGTAAGAGTTGAACAGAAGAACGAAGAAATAAAGACTATCATGAATGAAAACAAAGATGTAAACATTGACGATAAACTTGCCCAGAGCATAGTTGATGGCATCTGTGATTTTGAAGTACATAATGACGGTGGAAACATGAATTTAGAAAAAGAAGTTACATTATTCACACTGTTTCAAGCAATTAATTCGTTACCTAATCATTTAATTAATGAAGCATATGATAACGTTTATAACTTCTGCAATTTAACTGAAAATGCAAAAAGTAATTTTGAAAAAGCACGTAGTAGATATGCACATTTAATGACTTCTCCATTTGTTTTAGTGAAGATTCTAAAACTTTATCAAAAGGAATATTATGATGAATATGTTTTACCTTTATTACGTAAGCCAAAAATAACATTTGATATCAAACTTGATGACTCGTTTTTGATAACAGATATTAGACGCAGGGCTGAAAATCATCGGTATAAAAACAGTTCTGAAGTAATTGAGGATTTATCACGTGTAATCCGTTTTGTAGATTATGGAAACAAATACTTCATTCAAAAGGACTATAATATTCATGATAAAATGAATCAAATATCATTTGTTCTTCAATCAAACATGAAAGAGTCACTCAAAATGATTAAATTATTTAAAGAAGAAGGTAAAACAATAACAGCATGGGACGTACTACTAAATCAATTATCCTCATTAACCGTTAAGGGTGTTTGCTTTAAATCTGATTCCCCCGATGTTTTCTCAACGTTTCAAGGTTATAAATACAACATTCTTGAAAAGCCTGATTACTCAAAAATTGAGATGTTTATGAATTTCATTAAAGAAGCCATTTGTGATAATAACGATGAAGTGTATAAATACCTTCTCGGCTGGATTGCATCAATGATTCAACATCCTGGAATCAAGAATGAAACAGCAATTATTTTGAAAGGACTTCAGGGAACAGGTAAAAACAGATTTACAGACATTATTTCTGAACTTCTCGCTGGTTATTCATGTAAAAACATTACTGAAATAAGTGAGCTAACGGGTAATTTCAATTCAGTTGTTGAAAATAAAATGTTTCTTGTACTTAATGAACTCAAGAATGTAGGTGAAGACAGACTCGCAAACTTCAACGCTTTGAAATCAATTATTACGGATAATGAGATTAGAACTAATGAAAAGAATCAACCCAGAAGAACTGCTCAGAACGTTGCAAACTTCATTTTCGTAACTAATAACGTTTACCCTGTCAAAATTGAAGTTGGAGACAGAAGATACGTAGTTTTAAGAGTTAATGGTAAATTTAAGGGTCAATTTGATTACTTCAAGAATTTAATGGATTCATGCACTAAGGAATTTTATGATAACCTTTTAACATATTTTATCAATTACGACCTTTCATCATTTAATGTACGAATCATACCGATGACTGAAGCCAAACAAGATTTAATTGAATTATCCACAAATCCTTTAGATGTATGGATAAATACACATTATGATGAATTGTGTGCAGGTATGATATGTAAAAATGCTCTATTCTGCAAACCATCAGACATGAAAGACAAGAATTTCCAAATGAGTATTAAGGATAAATGTGATAGGAAACAGATAAGAATAGACGGTAAACAAACATGGTGTTATGTTTTGAAAGAAGAAATGAAAGGATTATATAAACAGGTTGAACCAAACGATAATGATGATTCATTTACTGACGATGAAATACCTGTAAATGATGCTTTATAAAGTATGATTTGAATTTATTTTTGCATTAATCCTCTTATGTTGTTGTCTAAATGTCATGTTGTCTCATTTTTTCAGAGAAGTTAAATAACCTGGTGACACATGGTGACATGGTGACACCTTCAGTTCTTCAAAAATAATTCATAACTGCCTTCCTCATTAATCCTCTTATGTTGTTGTCTAAATGTCATGTTGTCTCATTTTTTCAGAGAAGTTAAATAACCTGGTGACACATGGTGACATGGTGACACCTTCAGTTCTTCAAAAATAATTCATAACTGCCTTCCTCATTAATCCTCTTATGTTGTTGTCTAAATGTCATGTTGTCTCATTTTTTCAGAGAAGTTAAATAACCTGGTGACACATGGTGACATGGTGACACCTTCAGTTCTTCAAAAATAATTCATAACTGCCTTCCTCATTAATCCTCCTATGTTGTTGTCTAAATGTCATGTTGTCTCATTTTTTCAGAGAAGTTAAATAACCTGGTGACACATGGTGACATGGTGACACCTTCAGTTCTTCAAAAATAATTCATAACTGCCTTCCTCATTAATCCTCTTATGTTGTTGTCTAAATGTCATGTTGTCTCATTTTTTCAGAGAAGTTAAATAACCTGGTGACACATGGTGACATGGTGACACCTTCAGTTCTTCAAAAATAATTAATTATTGAATGACCTGAAACCATTAACTAGTGATGCGAAAAATTCCCAAACATATGGGGCTTCTCATATCCCATCCCCTATCGTTTCCCCAATTCAATTTTTTTGGAATTTTATTTTTTTCCCGCCCATTTGAATTAAAAATGGGCGATTTTCGTTAATGTGATTGAAATATCATAAAATTAATACGTATTTTAGCTAATAATTCTATTTTTATACAATATTCTCTCATTAAATCAACAATTTTTTCTAATTTTAATTTTTAATTTTTAATTTCTTCATAATTTTAGCGATTTATGCTCATTATTAGCAAATAAATAATATATATAATATACTTATTTCATTTTATTCAGATAGGTCTTTGGGATTGGGATACCTTGTCCAAATTCAGAGGAAGTTTGAGAGGTTGGGATGGAGTAGCCCATATTCAATTATCCCAAGTGTACTCCACGAATTTAAAATTATATTATATTATTGACGACATATCTAAATTTATAGATAAAAATTTCAATGCGTACACAATTTTTTTTGAGAAAATTCTTTTTTTACTTATTTTCATTCATAAAAGCTCACGTGAACTTAATTAACAACTGAGACATTTCCTATGAAATCATTTAATGCCGTCAAAATAGACATGTCTAAGCTGTTTTGAGTGACTTTCGCTCGATGTCTGATATTGCATCAGACATCGAGCGAAAGTCTCTCAGATTGGCTACACATCCATACGATCAATACTAGAGCTACGAATTACAAGCCTGTTTGGGCGATTTTTGGCCGAGTTCTGATTTTTCATTAGATCTCGAGCGAAAGTCTCTCAAATTGGCGGCAAACCCAAATTTTAGCTAAAAGTGACAGGGAAAAAAACGTTTAGTATTAAAAAAAAGACTGATGAGAGCTTCGTTCGAAATATAGAGGGAACTGAGAATGCGCAACCATTCTCAGGGAATATTGGATGCTATTCCCGTTCCCTCTGTATGGAAAATTGAGGTTTTCAAAGGGAGTTAAATAATATCAAATTTATACTAATTTACTTCAAAATACAAAAGTATTTGACAGCTAAAATTAGTTACTTTAGCAAGCCTATCAATACCCTTTTACGATTATTGTTACTTTTTCGAAATAAAAGTAAAAACAAATTTACTTAATTTACTTCAAAATACAAAAGTATTTGACAGCTAAAATTAGTTACTTTAGCAAGCCTATCAATACCCTTTTACGATTATTGCAACTTTTTTCGAAATAAAATAAATTTATTATCAAAAACTTTTTTTCTTAGTAAAAAATAAACGAAATTTTTTACCTTATGAACTTTTGATGGAAATATGCAAATTTAAAATAATAAAGAAAGCCGCGAGCGAATCGAGCGGCTTAGGTCTAAGATTTTGATTCAAATCTTTGCTTATATTCCTTAAATTCTTTATGAAACTCGCAACAGTTCCATAAAAATTTTAAATTCTAAACTGTCGAAATTACCGATCGGTAATACACCCTTCACGGGTGTGTCACTTTTAGCTAAAATTACCCCTACTCCTCAAATTGGCTGCCAGTTCATAAGAGTGAAACTCTAGCTACAAATTAGAAGCTTGCTTGAGAGACTCTCGCGCGTTGGGATCTGCATCAGAACTCGAGCGAAAGCCTCTCAAAGTGGTAAAGACCTGCTCATTGTTGAACAGGAGCTGCGTAATGTGTTCGAGTAGAGTAAGGCTCTTCTAAGATCTTCCCTTGTGATTGGAAGAAATTAGAAGAGCCTCACTCTACTATTTTGTAATTGTATGCCCTGACCTTTGAGTGACCAGGGCTGCGTAATGTGTTTCGAGTAGAGTAAGGCTCTTCTAAGATCTTCCCTTGTGATTGGAAGAAATTAGAAGAGCCTCACTCTACTATTTTGTAATTGTATGCCCTGGCCTTTGAGTGACCAGGGCTGCGTAATGTGTTCGAGTAGAGTAAGGCTCTTCTAAGATCTTCCCTTGTGATTGGAAGAAATTAGAAGAGCCTCACTCTACTATTTTGTAATTGTATGCCCTGGCCTTTGAGTGACCAGGGCTGCGTAATGTGTTCAGCAAATTGATATAAACGTACATCCCACAAAAAATGGATTGTCAAAATTTATCCCAAATTTTACAAAACCGCAGCGGTTATGACATCCCAGGGCTAAAAAAATTCCGAAAATCGCATCTCTACCATTAACGTAATCATTAATTTTCGTAAACATTAACGTAAACATTTATTTCTGCAGTTCATTACCTAATTAATTACAGACATAAATATATTTAGTTCATTCAATGAATGCGGTACCATGCGAATACAGTCACAAATGGTGGCATATAATCTTTACCCGAACCTGTTGGATTTGTTGTGAAAGTATGGACATGATTTCCTCCTGGTTCAGTTGGTCGAAAAGTCTTTTTTGCTGAATGGTTATAATCTGGAGATAAAACGTCATAGCCAACTTCATATTCTGAGTTGTATAATGGGTGGTCTCTTAATGAGTGTATATGGTCGCCAGAAAAGTTTGTAGTTCCTGTATGAGTGTGCGGTGGAAGGTTTGCTTCTTTAATTTTCTTCGAACCTCCTGTTTGCTTTGAATATCTAGCACAGTATAAGAATTTATCTACAATCTGCTTCCACGTACCAAAACCTAAAACTGTTGATGGATTTGTTGAGTTCATTGATGTATAAATAGAACCAACAGGATATAATGTTTGAAGTATTTCATTTTTCATGCTTGTAATCACATCATTTACTTCCGACTTCTTTGCATAATTTTCATCAACATAAGTTTTATCTGCTTTAAGGTCTAAACATCCTGAAACCCATTCTGTATCAGCTTTAACTTTAAAAGTCTCCAATGTCCATTCATGATACCATTCAACCATTTCTTTAATTTCTTTATCTTTTTCATCAACGTAAACCAAATTTGCCTTCTTATTTAATTCACTAACCACATATTCCTTATCTGCTTTCTTCATTATGTCATTTAGGAAACCTTCTATGAATTCCTCATTTAAATTAAATCTTCCAATCTTCAAAACTTTAGGAAATGCATTTAATGCGTAATATCTCTGTTCTTCTGGTGGAATTGATGTTATATCATCCGTTATTCCTTTAATTTTTGAATTCATAAATAAAATTTCTTTTATATTTGATATCACTGCACCACCTTTGCAAACGAATTCGAAATGTTCATTTTTCAATACTATCTCCAAATCTCCATATTTCAACCTTTGCGTTTGTTCTGCCGTCTTTGAATTATATGCATATATGGCGTATGTAATGGTCTGAGGGACCTGGGTGCTTTGTGCCTTAAGTTGTTGTGGTTGCTGTTGTTTAATCATTTATTATGATTTAAAAATAAATATTTAATCTGTTATCTCATCAGCTATTTTTTCTATTTGAAATTGCCATAATATTTCATTCATGAATTCTAAATCACAATCAAATAGGTCAGTTATTCTAAATTTAATATTTGATAAATCTTTTGAATGAAGAATAAATGAATTCCCGGATAATTGAAACGGATATGATAAAGAAAATGTGTTTAAGTTGATGGATAAAATGTTTTGTATTGATGGGTAAGAGTTAGGGTCTAATGTTTGATGTGAAAATCTCATTGGGGTATTAACTTTATCACATTTGATTAAAATGAAATTGGAACCAGTGTCAGAATACAAAACATCCCCAACATCTTTTTCAAAATTTAATATCCCCAACAATGAACGAAGATGAGGAGTACAAAATTTAATTTTCAGCGGAAATTTAATAAGGTTATTTATTTCATCAAGTTCAAAAAGTTTATCAGGTTTTGATTTAAAATTTTCTTCATACCATACGATAAATGATTCATTTAAATAACTTAAAATCGTGTTAATATCCCATTTCGTTATCACATTATTTATATACATATCATACGTTTTTTCATGGTCATCTTTAATAAATGATATATAATCTGAAGGGTCTAAAAGAATGGAATTAAATTTACCACTCACAGAAACGAGAGTAACATTATAAATTCCGCTAACTGTTAAATTTAATTCACAGCTATTATTCGAAATAATATTGATAATTGACATTTTTATTACGATTAAAAATATGGTAAAGCGTTATTTTCCAGTGATAAATAAAACTAGAATAAGATTACCTCAAGAATTCATAAATTCAACGAATAAGAAATTCATTCATGTTATAAATTTTAGTGTTTTCAGAAAATATGAGTCGATGTCATATTCATCATCGGGTTATATTTCACTTCATTCAAATTTAGTTCAATCAAACCCATATAATGACCATTTCATAAGATTTTCAGATGGTATTAAAAATGTAATTGATAGATTAAAATATGAACAGATTGACAATATCGAATTTTTGGAATTTTGGTTTAAATATCCTGATGGAAAAAAGATTGAAGTTAAAGATAAAGCTGATACTATAACAAAAACAATTACAATGACCGATCCGGATAGTGGGGAACAAAAAGAAATAAAACAAATGATAGAAACTGGTGAAAGGTCAATTATTATTGATTATGATTCAAAGGATTATTATTCGATAATGTTAATGCTTGAATATTAAATAGTCTTAACAAAGAATTTTTCAAGTGATATTTTATATTCATCAACTATTTTATTGTATATGTTATTATAAGTTAAATGTAGTTCAGTTGTTGCTCCGTTCTTTGATATCTTAATTGTGCTAATATCCTTTATAGGATTTATTTTTGCAACTGTTCCGCAGCATGAAACCTCATCATCTATGAAAAATTGAATCTTAACGTCTGAATCTTGAACATCACAAAGAATGGCGATAATGTGAATTAATGATTCATAAGGTAAAATAATTAAACCAGATTGGTCAATTAAATTTATTATTGAATCATAATTATTAATTATTATATCACGGTAAATTTTCATTAATTCAGAATTAATGTCTACTTTATATGGCGCATTGCGACTGGAATCGTAGATTCCTGGGTTCTCGATGTTTGATGAAAGAGGCGGGGGTATGTTGGATAAGTGGGAATTTCAACAGGTTCTTTACCGGGTTCAGATAAAATGATTGGGTCTCCATTCTCATGGTTTTCTTCATTCTCCTCATTCTTCGGTAAGTCACGAGTTAATAAATTGGACTGTGTTGCTGACCTTGTTAATTCGGGGCTAACATTAACTTTAACATTTTGAATAATTCGTGATTTATCATCATTTACGTTATAACCAACCGTAATCTCTGCTTTTGCGTTAGTGTTCTTTTGACTTGTGAAACGTCTTCTCATTTATAATTGAATAAAAAAAAGAAAAATATATTTAAAGTTTTATTTAGTTGTTACGGTAATATCCCAAGGTTCATCCTTGTTTGCTTATACTTTCTTTGTAACTGCACCAATTATGTTATTGATAATGATTTGAGTTTCTTCCAGTCTTATTTTATCATTTACAATATCTTTAATCATTTCATTACATGCATTCTTAAAACCATCTGATTTTTCTAATTTACGTCTATCACTTTCTTTAATTAAATCAAAGTTATAACCTTGTTGAGAATAAAGTGGTTTCTTTATCAATTCCTTGAACGCTTCTGAAAGTGAAGATGAAGAAATTCTTGCCACTTGAATTGGTTTAAATTCTGCTTTCATTGCTTCTTTCTGTTCATTGAACACTGGATCGAATAAAGCAACTTTAAAGAATTTCTTAGCTGGAATTTCAGGTCTCAAATTTGCATATTGACCATCAAACTGATTAACATATTGAGGTAATCCGTTTGGTCCTTCTTCAATAGCGTTTAATTCTTCATTGAAATAAGAATATGGATTATGACGGTATGAAAGAATTGGTCCATCTTTACTGTCTCCGATATGTTGTTTAACAGCTTTTCCATTTACATCAAATTTCATAGGATAACGTTCATTATATGCTTTACGTTTAGGATAATCCGTCATTGTTAATTTATACCCATTTATGACTTTAATATTTCCTTGACCATCAGTAACAAAGACTTCATTTATTCCATCAGGCTTTCCATTTGGTCCTGTAATGTCTGCTTCATGTGCTTCCCAATTTGGACCATGACGTTTGGCATATGCTTGAGCTTCTGGTAATGTTAAAACGTTTCTCATTTGTTTAACATCCTTTTGAAGACCGGCAACAATGTGGACTAATTCTTTCATTCCGTCTGGAACTTTCATAGTTCTATTATATGCACCCTTTTTGTTTGTCCCTTGTTTTAATGGAACCTGTAGAAGATTTGCTATTTCTGTCATGTTTAATTATAAATAAAAAATAAAAATTAATTATAAAAAGTTAATCAAATTTAACACTTCCTTTATTTAAATCAACTATTATTTTTCCATGTTCACCTAATTGCTGATATTGTGTGTAAAGTTCATTAATGCTCATTGGTAAATTCACTTGATAAAGCATAACGTTCAACTGTTGACGACTAAACCCACTGAAAATGAAAAGTGTTGATAGATTTGATTTAATGTTTGTGCTTAATGCTTTGAAGTATTGAACAGCCATAAAGAATGAACACTGAATGTGTCGACATTGAGTTAATAACTGATTAAAATATGATTTCTCATTTGTTATTAGTTTTGATTTCACTGCATCATCTAGAAAAATGAGTGAATGCAAAAATTCTCTATCAAAATTTGAAATAGAAAGTGTTTCAAATAATTCACCCCGTTGTTTATCAATAATTTTATCCTCTAATCCTTGCTTCTTGATTGTATTATATAATTCTTTATACATTAAAAAGTTTTTTAAATAATCTTCTGCTTCTTCTTGTGATAAATAAATAATTGGAATTTTGATTAAATGCTTTAAAGATTCAAATGTATCATCTGAAGGTGAACCTGAACGGTTGATATAAATTAACACATGTGAATAGGGTGAAGTGTTAGCAATAATGATAATTTGTTTTAATATCGTTAATGTTTTACCTTTATTCTGTTTACCAATTGCTGCAGTGATTGAATTTAAATAACATTCAGAATATGTAATTTTCATTAATTTTTCCTTTGAGAGATTATTTCTATTATCACTCAATGCTTCATTAATCATATCATCACGTATGTATTATATACTCCCGCTAATTCTTCATAAGGGGTGGATGAATTTAAATCCATTTAATCAAAAATAAATTTATAATTTTAAACATTTCTATTCATCAATATTTCATCATATGAACTTCTATACTGTGGTGGTGTACCTGTTGAATGATATTTCAAACCTTCGTCCGGTGTCCATGTCCAATACGTAGTCCTAGTAAACCAAACCTGAGGAGGATTTGTCACCTTTGAACAGTAAGTGTCATTTTCACCCTGAATGATTGGATAAGCTTTCACTTGTACTGTAACTTGTGAGTTGAAAGTTTCTAATCCATCAAAGAATATACCCGCTCCATCACGTTGAACTGGAATAGTGCATAAGAATGAGGTTTGGTCTTTCCATGTTCTAGCTAATGGTGTGCCATCATCTGCATTCAGTGGTCTAGTTAATGAGTCCTCGTATTCTTCTGTGCATTCATTCACTCCATCTAAATCAGAAGCTTGAAGCATACGTGTAAAGAATATGTCACCCACTGTGGTCATCGCTTGATCGGGGAAGTTTCTGGAATCTATAGTGACCTGAAGACCTCGAAGCATTGGATTTTCTAAAACCGTTCTTTGCATTGCATTCTTCGGAAATGCTAACACAACATCTGTAACATTATGAAGAGCGTATGAGAAATCTGAGCTAATACCTTCAGGAGTGATGCAACCTCCATTTAGTGAACGAACGTCAATATGTTGAGCTGGAATCATGAATGGATCTTCCTTACTGAATAAACGTGGTATTGCTTTAATTGATTCTTCAATTAAACCGTATCCTGGTGTAATACATTTATCCTCTAAAACTTCCATCTTTGTGCATGAAATAATAACGTTATCAACTGTTGCGTCAGCAGATGTAGCGGCTAAGCTTGTAATTAATTTGGCAGGAAGTCCGATTTGTTGGAATTTGCGATCATATTTATAAACATGATTCATAATCTTTTCATAATTTTCATCAGTTATCTTTTCATAAACGTAATTTTGTAAATCAGCAACTCTTAACGGGTCAACCTGACAAAATACTAAAGTATCCCTGAAAACATAATATTTAAGAATGATTTCACCAAATGATTTAGGATAATCATCAAACGCCTGAAATGCTAACAAATCATTTACCGGAATAATCATATCAAAAGTGATATCAACTTCTTCATTTGCGTTCTTGAAAACTTCTGAAGGGTCAATATATTTACCACATACTGAGTTATCATATTTTTGAACATTATTATATAACGAATGAACAAACTTTTTAACTTTCCTTTCTGATTTTGGTTTATATGTTGCAAATGCGAAAGATTCACGGGCGCAATCCATCTGAAGATAACCGGCATCACCTCTTTCGGTTTCTACTTCTAATTGTTTAAAGCTTTGATTTGATGATTTGTAACCAACGAATAAACGCATGCATTTAAAAGCGGCATCGCATGTGAAAGCTTTATTTGAAACTAGAGTTACTTTAACTTTGCGTTTAATATATGTGTCACCTAATTGGTTCACATCATGAGCCGGATTTGTAATTCTTAAATGAGTTTGTTTATCATCAAAATATGGAGCATCAGAGTCATAGCATGAACTTTCAAGTTCTCTATAATATCTTCTACCGTCATTCTTTGTGAATATTTCATTTATCTTTTCAAATGAATGAAACACATTTCCATTAATCGGTTTAGTGTTTGGCACCAAATAGTTAGTCGTCATTTATTAATAAATAAAAAATCAAAATTAAAAGATGAAAATGAATTTTTAATTTTAATGAAATAATCAACTATGGCTGCAGGTATATTTAAGAAACTGTGGGATAAAGTAAAAAGAGGAGCGCATAAAGTTTGGGAAACAATGAAGAAGGGAGCAAATTGGATATTTAAGAATAAAGAAGCAATTAGTGACGTTGCTGAATCAATAACACCAAAAGCTGCCCCAATAAGAGAAGTATTAAATAAAGGAGAAAAAGTTTATCAAAGACTACAACCGATACTAAGATAAAAATAATTTTAAAATAATTTATTTTTCCACTATCTACCCCCTATTTTATTAAGTATTCCTTCAGCTATTCCACCAATTGCGTTACCTGCTTGTGCTCCCATCGCTGGATTACCTGCTTTAGTACCTAATACTCCACCTATGATAGTTCCTGCCGTTTTCGCTACTGGTGCCAAAAAGTTTGCAACGGGTTTAATAATCTTTTTATAAACCCAACCTGCAGCTTTCTTAATTCCATCCCATAATTTTTTAAAGAATCCTGCCGCCATTTCTGATTTAATATTAATTAAAAAATATATTTCATCACTTATATTCTAATTTTTATTTAATGATAAATGAAACCGATTTTAAAAATAAATGAAACAGAGGAGGAGGAAATTAATGAAAGTGAAGATGTTCAACAAAAAATAAACGTTGTTAAACCAATTACTGAAATAAAAATTTTTTCATCTGTTGAAGAATTTAATGACTATTATGCTAATAATAAAAAATTATTTGAAGAATTGACAACGTGTAAATTGAATAAAATGTTTAAAGTTGATGGATTCAAAATTTCAAAAATAAAAGGAGTGGTTAGTTTGAAATCTATTCCTCAATCAAGAATCACCTCATTAATGAAAATAGATGATTTAACAAAAAGAATAGAAGAGATTGAAGAAAGAATAAATCAGATAATTGATATCATAAATTCAAATAATCATTAGTTTCTTAAAGTTCTATGTTGATTCTGAGACATGAATTTTTAAAGTTTATTTTTTAAAAAAAATTTATTTTTTATTTCATTATGTATGGGCTGAGTGTAAATGTCTTACAATTTTGAAAATTTTTTAAATCTTGATTTATTCAAAAACGTAAGAATAAAAACCGTAAGAATCATACATTTTTTACTTCATATGTTAAAAAAAATGATACAAAATCGCTCGATATTGCATGAATTCTTACGTTTACAAAAAAAGTCACAAAACCCTTCAACATATACTATTTAGATATTTTAGAGTATTTACAAAATAAATATGATATAAATGTATCGTACATTGGGTTTCCATGACAAAATTAATTAAGTCGAAGGCCAAATTTAACATTATTATTATTTCCTAAGAATTTTATAAAAAATAAGGCAAAGGAGTATCAGTTAATAGTTTCTACGTTATTATGGAGATGCTGATGCATCCTGTACAACAACCAACAAATAATCGTTATCAGGAGTAATTATAATTTCATTTTTATGTGATCTTATGCGAATCACATTCAAAGGGCTTGATACAAGCGTATTTTCGAGCGAAGATTTTGCTTTTCTGACAAATTCTGTAATTAATCCAGCGTATTTTAATGTTTCTTGATCTGAAAATGTGCTTTTAACAGTTTGACCATTAAGCTTTAGAACCATTGATCCTATAACGCCTGGCTGTGCTCCAAAATTCTTTAACACTGCATCAATATCAGACATTGATAAAAAATAATCGTTATATTTTATAAATTTTTGCCATATATGTTTGTTGCGTGGCAGAATGGACACTAAAGATTGACAGAAAAAGCAATTCTTCCTCTGAATGCGGGAAACTCTGAATAAATTAACATTTGGACAAAGTTTCCAGCAATCAGAGGAAGAATTGCTGGCATTGGTGTACTGATTTATAACCAGTACATCATGGTCTACAATTCTTCACACAAAGTTCAAAAACTTGGGTACAATTACATCTGATTTGACTCAAGTTTGTTATTGGGTGAGATATATATATATTATAGTCAAATTCTATTTCTGAGAGCAGTGTTAAATTATGTTTTTGTGCTGAAATTAATACAAATATAGAAAATAATATTTACAGTAACAAAGAAAAACACTTATGAGCGTTGTTCCATAATAGGTAAATCATCAAGATTAACTGAATTAAGATTATCAAGTTCTACGTAAAGAGGACGAGTAAATCTCCAATATGCTAACGCAATTGTTGCAGCAACGTAAAGAGCAAATAAAACTACAAGGAAGTAAACAAATCTCTGGAAATATATTACTTTGCGACCTAATTTGGCTTCTTCTTCTGTATCTACATCCATTGAAACGTTTCTGGGCATGTAACACTGCTGGCGAAATGAATTCCATCTGCATGGACTTCTACAATGATCGATGTCTTTAGCAGAAGCGCAGATAGAGCGACTGCAAGTCCATTTATTAAATTTCCAATCTTCTTGTTTACAATTTGCATAAAATGCATGTGTGTCTGTACCTTCCAAGCAAACACCAAGAGATTCACACCAGCCGCAGTTGCCAAATACTGATGTAGAAACGCATTTTGAGCATGCATCATCTGAAAATGTGTTAAAACAGCGTCCAAGTTCTTTTGTTGCTGTATAAATCATTTGCCCATGGTCTTTGCACGCTTGGATTTCTGTTTCTGTTGATTCGATCGGATAACATTTTGATTGTTCAAGGCAATAGCCACATCCGTAGATTGAAAGACAAGCATCAGCGTCAAATGAAAATATTGGACAAATGGAGGATGAACTGACGCATGTAATATAAAAGAAAGTAAAAATCATTTGATTTATGAAATTTGACAGTTTACATTTGGCAAATTTGACAAAGTGAAGGTTTTAATAAACTTGTCAGTTTTATTATATGACCAAATACGCACTATCGTCGTCTAAAATTTTTGAAATTAAAAACGTTCATCAAATGTTTTCAAAAGCAGAAATAGAGAATATTGTCGAGCATTTGAAGCCATTCCCAATTGAACAGTGGGGCAGTCATGAGTGGCTCAAGCAAATGATAGGAATTGAAAAAATTAACGTTCAGGCACATGTTGAAGCATCATCTAATAAGTTCGAGTCAGTTGTCGACTGTATCAAGACACATGACAAGTTCGAAGTCCTTGTGCATGAACTTATTGCAACAGATATGTGTCTTAATAACATGTTTTCCAAATTTAAATCCAAATTACCACAACAAGCCTTTGCAAGAGTATTTGTTGTTGAAAGATCACTCAGTACACTTTTAACACTTCTTGGTTTTGTTGTTTTCAAACCAGAAAGTCTCTCATCTGAGGGTTTACTTCCATTAATCGATTTCTGTGCAGCAAAACTTGCGCAACTTACAAAAATGGATGTTGGTGATATCGATCCTACCAAGGAACAAGATCCACTTCTTCCAAAATTCCAAATTTGTTTTGGAGCTCTTTCAATAATTTGGTGTATTGCCTGTGCAACACCAGATCCAGGTTTTCCGATCTCTGTTACAAAACGCCTTGTCAATGAAGACGATTTAATACCAACCCTTTGCGAGCTTGTCATCAAACAACCATGGAGAACAATTCGCAAAGGAAAAGTTCTCAAATGGGGAGACAATGCACTTATGGAACTCGAAAAGAAGGATGCCCTTAGAGTATGCAAATCAGAAGCTCACGCATGGACAGCAATTCAGCAGCTTCTTGAGCCAAGATGCCTAGAATTGACAAATTGGAATGACTCAAGGAGAGAATCACTTCTACACGTTGAAGGAATGCTTTCTGAAGTGTTAATTGACCAGTTACCTCCATTGCAATCACTTAAGAGAGCTCTCCAGTACTTAAGAGTCAACATTCCTCCACCTCCAAAGTTCCAAGCTATTATTGAACAGATCCCTCCAATGAAGGAAGAGTTTGACAGAAATTGGGACTGGAATTCGCTTTCTGATAAATGTTTCAACAAATACTTCAAGACATCTCCACAACAGGCTCAGGCTGAGCTTCAGATGATATCGGAATATCTGTCAATCTTTGCTAATTTAGAAGGACAATAAAATTGTTATATAAAAATTTATTATATTGTGTTTTTACTATTTGGATATTATTATTTGCACAGGCAATATATCCAGTTATGACATGATTTATCGATGTCGGAATTTCAACACGAATTGCCAAACTTTGCAACCCTTGGATAATCAAAAATAAAATGAAGAAAAAGGAGAAAAAAAATAGGTCCTAAAACTAAATACTTCGGACCAATTGCCAAAATGACCCCAGGGTTGCCAAGTCTGCATCCTTGGATGCTTGCAATAAGAGAGTTTTATATAAATTTGTAAAAAATAGGGTATAATTAGTAGTATGATATGAAGGGTTGTGTGACTTTTTTTGTTACATCTATATATAGACGATACATTAAAATATTTATATACTAAACACATTAAAAAATTAACATTAATTTTAAAATAATTTATTTTTTTATCTTTTATAAAAGAAGCTATATATAGATGATGTCAGATATTCCGCGATTAATTAAACATTGTTTAAATCCTGAATGGGTTTAAATATCATCCATGTAAAATTTTAGAACTTGGTAACGAAAAACTTCAGAAAAAATTAAACGCAAGACTATCAAAAGATAAAGTTGAAATAAAAAATAAACTCGCTAAAGGTAATGGTAATGATGAAGATGAATTTGATGAGTTCAACATTGAACTTTAAGAAACTAATGATTATTTGAATTTATGAAATCAATTATTTGATTCATTCTTTCTTCAATCTCTTCTATTCTTTTTGTTAAATCATCTATTTTCATTAATGAGGTGATTCTTGATTGAGGAATAGATTTCAAACTAACCACTCCTTTTATTTTTGAAATTTTGAATCCATCAACTTTAAACATTTTATTCAATTTACACGTTGTCAATTCTTCAAATAATTTTTTATTATTAGCATAATAGTCATTAAATTCTTCAACAGATGAAAAATTTTTTATTTCAGTAATTGGTTTAACAACGTTTATTTTTTGTTGAACATTTTCACTTTCATTTATTTCTTCCTCCTCTGTTTCATTTATTTTTAAAATCGGTTTCATTTATCATTAAATAAAAATTAGAATATAAGTGATGAAATATATTTTTTTAATTAATATTAAATCAGAAATGGCGGCAGGATTCTTTAAAAAATTATGGGATGGAATTAAGAAAGCTGCAGGTTGGGTTTATAAAAAGATTATTAAACCCGTTGCAAACTTTTTGGCACCAGTAGCGAAAACGGCAGGAACTATCATAGGTGGAGTATTAGGTACTAAAGCAGGTAATCCAGCGATGGGAGCACAAGCAGGTAACGCAATTGGTGGAATAGCTGAAGGAATACTTAATAAAATAGGGGGTAGATAGTGGAAAAATAAATTATTTTAAAATTATTTTTATCTTAGTATCGGTTGTAGTCTTTGATAAACTTTTTCTCCTTTATTTAATACTTCTCTTATTGGGGCAGCTTTTGGTGTTATTGATTCAGCAACGTCACTAATTGCTTCTTTATTCTTAAATATCCAATTTGCTCCCTTCTTCATTGTTTCCCAAACTTTACTCGCTCCTCTTTTTACTTTATCCCACAGTTTCTTAAATATACCTGCCGCCATAGTTGATTATTTCATTAAAATTAAAAATTCATTTTCATCTTTTAATTTTGATTTTTTATTTATTAATAAATGACGACTAACTATTTGGTGCCAAACACTAAACCGATTAATGGAAATGTGTTTCATTCATTCGAAAAGATAAATGAAATATTCGCAAAGAATGACGGTAGAAGATATTATAGAGAACTTGAAAGTTCATGCTATGACTCTGCTGCTCCATATTTTGATGATAAACAAACTCATTTAAGAATTACAAACCCGGCTCATGATGTGAACCAATTAGGTGACACATATATTAAACGCAAAGTTAAAGCAACTCTAGTTTCAAATAAAGCTTTCACATGTGATGCCGCTTTTAAATGCATGCGTTTATTCGTTGGTTACAAATCATCAAATCAAAGCTTTAAACAATTAGAAGTAGAAACCGAAAGAGGTGATGCCGGTTATCTTCAGATGGATTGCGCCCGTGAATCTTTCGCATTTGCAACATATAAACCAAAATCAGAAAGGAAAGTTAAAAAGTTTGTTCATTCGTTATATAATAATGTTCAAAAATATGATAACTCAGTATGTGGTAAATATATTGACCCTTCAGAAGTTTTCAAGAACGCAAATGAAGAAGTTGATATCACTTTTGATATGATTATTCCGGTAAATGATTTGTTAGCATTTCAGGCGTTCGATGATTATCCTAAATCATTTGGTGAAATCATTCTTAAATATTATGTTTTCAGGGATACTTTAGTATTTTGTCAGGTTGACCCGTTAAGAGTTGCTGATTTACAAAATTATGTTTATGAAAAGATAACTGATGAAAATTATGAAAAGATTATGAATCATGTTTATAAATATGATCGCAAATTCCAACAAATCGGACTTCCCGCCAAATTAATTACAAGCTTAGCCGCTACATCTGCTGATGCAACAGTTGATGGTGTTATTATTTCATGCACAAAGATGGAAGTTTTAGAGGATAAATGCATTACACCAGGATACGGTTTAATTGAAGAATCAGTTAAAGCAATACCACGTTTATTCAGTAAGGAAGATCCATTCATGATTCCAGCTCAACATATTGACGTTCGTTCACTAAATGGAGGTTGCATCACTCCTGAAGGTATTAGCTCAGATTTCTCATACGCTCTTCATAATGTTACAGATGTTGTGTTAGCATTTCCGAAGAATGCAATGCAAAGAACAGTTTTAGAAAATCCAATGCTTCGAGGTCTTCAGGTCACTATAGATTCCAGAAACTTCCCCGATCAAGCGATGACCACAGTGGGTGACATATTCTTTACACGTATGCTTCAAGCTTCTGATTTAGATGGAGTGAATGAATGCACAGAAGAATACGAGGACTCATTAACTAGACCACTGAATGCAGATGATGGCACACCATTAGCTAGAACATGGAAAGACCAAACCTCATTCTTATGCACTATTCCAGTTCAACGTGATGGAGCGGGTATATTCTTTGATGGATTAGAAACTTTCAACTCACAAGTTACAGTACAAGTGAAAGCTTATCCAATCATTCAGGGTGAAAATGACACTTACTGTTCAAAGGTGACAAATCCTCCTCAGGTTTGGTTTACTAGGACTACGTATTGGACATGGACACCGGATGAAGGTTTGAAATATCATTCAACAGGTACACCACCACAGTATAGAAGTTCATATGATGAAATATTGATGAATAGAAATGTTTAAAATTATAAATTTATTTTTGATTAAATGGATTTAAATTCATCCACCCCTTATGAAGAATTAGCGGGAGTATATAATACATACGTAGATGATATGATTAATGAAGCATTGAGTGATAATAGAAATGCTCTATCTAAGGAAAAATTAATGAAAATTCCATATTCTGAATGTTATTTAAATTCAATCACTGCAGCAATTGGTAAACAAAATAAAGGTAAAACATTAACGATATTAAAACAAATTATCATTATTGCTAACACTTCACCCTATTCACATGTGTTAATTTATATCAACCGTTCAGGTTCACCTTCAGATGATACATTTGAATCTTTAAAGCATTTAATCAAAATTCCAATTATTTATTTATCTCAAGAAGAAGCAGAAGATTATTTAAAAAACTTTTTAATGTATAAAGAATTATATAATACAATCAAGAAGCAAGGATTAGAGGATAAAATTATTGATAAACAACGGGATGAATTATTTGAAACACTTTCTATTTCAAATTTTGATAGAGAATTTTTGCATTCACTCATTTTTCTAGATGATGCAGTGAAATCAAAACTAATAACAAATGAGAAATCATATTTTAATCAGTTATTAACTCAATGTCGACACATTCAGTGTTCATTCTTTATGGCTGTTCAATACTTCAAAGCATTAAGCACAAACATTAAATCAAATCTATCAACACTTTTCATTTTCAGTGGGTTTAGTCGTCAACAGTTGAACGTTATGCTTTATCAAGTGAATTTACCAATGAGCATTAATGAACTTTACACACAATATCAGCAATTAGGTGAACATGGAAAAATAATAGTTGATTTAAATAAAGGAAGTGTTAAATTTGATTAACTTTTTATAATTAATTTTTATTTTTTATTTATAATTAAACATGACAGAAATAGCAAATCTTCTACAGGTTCCATTAAAACAAGGAACAAACAAAAAGGGTGCATATAATAGAACTATGAAAGTTCCTGATGGAATGAAAGAATTAGTTCATATTGTTGCTGGTCTTCAAAAAGATGTTAAACAAATGAGAAACGTTTTAACATTACCAGAAGCTCAAGCATATGCCAAACGTCAAGGTCCAAATTGGGAAGCACACGAAGCAGACATTACGGGTCCAAATGGAAAACCTGATGGTATAAATGAAGTTTTCGTTACTGATGGTCAAGGTAATATTAAAGTCATAAATGGTTACAAATTAACTATAACTGATTATCCTAAACGTAAAGCATATAAGGAACGTTATCCTATGCAATTTGATGAAAATGGAAAAGCTGTTAAACAATACATTGGAGAAGGTGAAAATGGTCCAATTAATTCATACCGTTATAATCCATATTCTTATTTCAATGAAGAATTAAATGCTATTGAAGAGGGACCGGATGGATTACCACGATATTCTAACCAGTTTGATGGTCAATATGCAAATATTAGACTTGAAATTTCAGCTAAGAAATTCTTTAAAGTTGCTTTATTCGATCCAGTTTTCGCAAATGTTAAAGATGAACTTAAACATCAATTCCAACCAATTATAGTAGCAAGAATTGCATCAGGTGCTTTATCTCAAGCATTCAAAGATTTAATTAAGAAACCATTATATCAGCAACGAGGTTTAACTTATGATTTAGTTAAGGAATCAGATAAAAGAAAATTTGAGAAATCAGATGATTATAAGAATGCAATTAATGAATATATTAGGTCTATTAATTACAATGAAACAGCTAAAAATCAACTTCAAGAACAAATACAGGGAATAATAGATTCAAAACTTCCAGCAAAATAAAAGTTTAAATATATTTTTTTATTCGATTATAAATGAGAAGACGTTTCACTAGTCAAAAGAACACTAACGCAAAAGCAGAGATTACGGTTGGTTATAACGTAAATGATGATAAATCACGAATTATTCAAAATGTTAAAGTTAATGTTAGCCCTGAACTAACAAGGTCAGCAACTCAACCAAATTTATTAACTCGTGACTTACCGAAACAGGAGAATGAAGAAAACCATGAGAATGGAGACCCAATCATTTTATCTGAACCCGGTAAAGAACCTGTTGAAATTCCCACTTATTCAACATACCCCCCGCCTCTTTCATCAAACATCGAGAACCCATATAAAATAGACATTAATTCTGAATTAATGAAAATTTACCGTGATATAATAATTAATAATTATGATTCAATAATAAATTTAATTGATCAATCCGGTTTAATTATTTTACCTTATGAATCATTAATTCACATTATCGCCATTCTTTGTGATGTTCAAGATTCAGACGTTAAGATTCAATTTTTCATAGATGATGAGGTTTCATGCTGCGGAACAGTTGCAAAAATAAATCCTATAAAGGATATTAGCACAATTAAGATATCAAAGAACGGAACAACAACTGAACTTCATTTAACATATAATGATATTTATAATAAAATAGTTGATGAATATAAAATATCACTTGAAAAATTCTTTGTTAAGGGTATTTAATATTCAAGCATTAACATTATCGAATAATAATCCTTTGAATCATAATCAATAATAATTGACCTTTCACCAGTTTCTATTGTTTGTTTTATTTCTTTTTGTTCCCCACTATCCGGATCGGTCATTGTAATTGTTTTTGTTATAGTATCAGCTTTATCTTTAACTTCAATCTTTTTTCCATCGGGATATTTAAACCAAAATTCCAAAAATTCGATATTGTCAATCTGTTCATATTTTAATCTATCAATTACATTTTTAATACCATCTGAAAATCTTATGAAATGGTCATTATATGGGTTTGATTGAACTAAATTTGAATGAAGTGAAATATAACCTGTTGATGAATATGACACTGACTCATATTTTCTGAAAACACTAAAATTTATAACATGAATGAATTTCTTATTCGTTGAATTTATGAATTCTTGAGGTATTCTTATTCTAGTTTTATTTATCACTGGAAAATAACGCTTTACCATATTTTTAATCGTAATAAAAATGTCAATTATCAATATTATTTCGAATAATAGCTGTGAATGTTGAATCAAATATTAAAGCCTGATTACACAAAAATTGAGATGTTTATGAATTTCATTAAAGAAGCCATTTGTGATAATAACGATGAAGTGTATAAATACCTTCTCGGCTGGATTGCATCAATGATTCAACATCCTGGAATCAAGAATGAAACAGCAATTATTTTGAAAGGACTTCAGGGAACAGGTAAAAACAGATTTACAGATATTATTTCTGAACTTCTCGCCGGTTATTCATGTAAAAACATTACTGAAATAAGTGAGCTAACAGGTAATTTCAATTCAGTAGTTGAGAATAAAATGTTTCTTGTACTTAATGAACTCAAGAATGTAGGTGAAGACAGACTCGCAAACTTCAACGCTTTGAAATCAATTATTACGGATAATGAGATTAGAATTAATGAAAAGAATCAACCCAGAAGAACTGCTCAGAATGTTGCCAATTTCATTTTTGTAACTAATAACGTCTACCCTGTCAAAATTGAAGTTGGAGACAGAAGATACGTAGTTTTAAGAGTTAATGGTAAATTCAAGGGTCAATTTGATTACTTCAAGAATTTGATGAATTCATGCACAAAGGAATTTTATGATAATTTACTGACGTATTTTATGCAATATGACCTTTCATCATTTAATGTACGAATCATACCGATGACTGAAGCCAAACAAGATTTAATAGAATTATCAACAAATCCTTTAGATGAATGGATAAATACACATTATGATGAATTGTGTGCAGGTATGACGTGTAAAAATGCTCTATTCTGCAAACCATCAGACATGAAAGACAAGAATTTCCAAATGAGCATTAAGGATAAATGTGATAGGAAACAGAGAAGAATAGATGGTAAACAAACATGGTGTTATGTTTTGAAAGAAGAAATGAAAGGATTATATAAACAGGTTGAACCAAACGATAATGAGGATTCATTTACTGACGATGAAATACCTGTAAATGAAGCTTTATAAAGTATGGTTGGAATTTATTTTTGCATTAATCCTGCTGTAATGTCAAAATGTCATGTTGTCAGTAATTTTAAGAGAAGTTAATTAACCTGGTGACACATGGTGACGTGGTGACACTTTCAGTTCTTCAAAAATAATTCATAAATGCCTTCCTCCTTTCGTACCTGTTGTCAAAATGTCATGTTGTCAGTAATTTTAAGAGAAGTTAATTAACCTGGTGACACATGGTGACGTGGTGACACTTTCAGTTCTTCAAAAATAATTAATTATTGAATAACCCGAAACCATTAACGATAAAATAACTGATAACAAAATTTTATTTTTATATAAATGGATACCCCACAAGCTCAAAATTTACCACGAATCATAACAAGGGAGGAAATGATAAAAATTATGCAAGAACGAATTAAAAACAACAAACCACGAAAACCGAGAAGATGCGGTTATGCAGTAATGATGGAAAGAAGAACCCAGAAGGGTTCGGCGTCTCGAAGAGACGTTGTCGAAGAGGAATAAAAATTAAATTTGGATAGAGTTTAAAAATTCATCTTTATTAAATTCATCTCTTCCAATCAATTTATTTATTCTATTAAATTCTTTTATTTTTGCTTCACTCAGTTTAAGGATTGAACGGTAAGTTTCTAATTTTTCGATTATTTCTTTCCTCTCTTTATCGTTTTCAATTACTTTAGTTTTATGGGCATCAGCCCCACCGCATTGCAGCTTCTTTTTGTAATAGCATATTTTTGATTTAATTCTGTTTAGTTTCTTTTTATATTCATCGTCTGGACTCTGACTCTTAATTGAATCAGGACTCTTGGCTGCTTTGTTGTCACTCATTTCTTACGAAATAAAAAAATTAAATATTATTTAAATATAATGGAGTAATAAAATAAATCGGAATTTCTATTAATTTATTGTCAACTTCAACTAATGCATTGCCGTTAATATATCTAACAAATTCAGCTATTGTGTCAAATCTTCGTCTTCTTTTTGTCATTGATTTATCAGTTTTTCCATAATCGAGATGAATCAAAACTTTATCCCCTTGTTTAAAATTCATGAGCCCCGAATTAATTTGTTCACGTTTAACATCATTCAACCTTTCCATTTGCTTTCTAATATATTCCCATTCTTTTGAAATATCATTTTTCATTTCCACCGGTTTCATGTTTATAGTTCTATGCCATGTATTATTGTAATAATATACTAACTGTTGTATGATGGGCTCATGATTTCCATCCCAGTATATCCGACCGTTAACCCCTAACGCATCTCTAAGAGTTCTCATTACCGCATCAACTATTTTATTATGAAACGTATATGGAGAGGATGAAAAGAAAAAATTAATTTGTGGGAAATAATGAGCCATAGCCGCCTGAAATCCTTTATCACCATCACCCCTGATATTATCTACTCTTTCATGATCTAGTAAGTATTGTATAGCTCTTCTTGTTTCCTGTTCTGTTTTCCCTTTCACTGGAATGCAATATAAATATCTAGTGTTAATGTTAATGGCAAATAAATAAGTAACGTTTCCTTTTGAATATTCTAAATGATCGATTTCGTATGAATATGGATATGGAGCAAATGAAGGGCGACTAAATTTTTCCTTTAACGGTTGAATTTTCGGGTCAATTGGTTTATTTAATATCTTGAAATCCTTTTTAAAATCTTTTTGCTTCTTTAATGTTTGAAATGGATATAATAAAGTGAATGATGAAGGATTAACTGAAGGAGGAGGCGGTACTGTCGTTGGAGGTTTTGGTGTTGCAAGTGGTTTAATTTTATCTGCTTTGATTTTGGATTTCATTCCCCCCTTCATTAATTCTGGATGTATTCTATTCATTTGTTTTAAATATGCTGTATATAAAGGTTTGATATACTTTCCCGCTTCGAGTTTATGTTGAAGGATGAATTCCAAAAGTTGATCTTCATTTAAAAGTCGGGCTGAATATGGTTTAACTAATGAATCATAAATTAAAGCTTGTGCTTCATTTATGGTCTGAGGGACCTGGGTGTTTTGCACCTTTGTTTTTTGCGGCTCATGATTATATAATTTATATAATTCATCAACATCTTCTTCTGTTAATACTTTATTTTTGAAATCTTTCAACTGTTTAAGTTGTGATTTAGTTTTTCCCTTTGTATATTCATTATTTTTAATTTTGTCTTTAATTTTAGAAATTATTTTATCATGATATTTCAAAATTTCATTTTTATAATACGGATAATAATAATCCATATCATCACCCGTTATATAGTTATCATGTTTTTGGAGATATGATTTTAATTCATAATAACTAGGAAAATTTTGATTAAGTACTAAATCATCAATTAAAATTTTTAAATCTGTGTTATCCATTTATATAAAAATAAAATAAATGTTTAAGGGTGCCCACCTCTTTGAATCATAGTATCAAAACCATTAT